TAGGTCCCTTACTATATCTGATTTATACGATCGATCTGCAAGACTGTTTAGTCCACTGTAGTATGCAAATTTATGCAGATGATACTCAGTTAGTGTTTGGTTTCGATCCATCAAAGGTTGATGAAGTTTCTTTTAAAGTTAATTTAGATTTGGCTAACATCGGTGATTACTGTAACAAACACTGCTTGAAGATCAATCCTAATAAAACTACTGCAATGTTGTACTGTTCGAAGAACTCCTACCGTGAAATGAAGCAGAGGATTTGTATTTTTTTGGATGAGACACTCATCCCTTTTGTGGATTACGCCAAGAATCTCGGTGTTACCCTTGACTTAAATATGAGATTCGATCGGCATGTCTCTTTTTTATAGAGTAACGTGTTTGCGTTTGAAACTCCTCTATTCTAATTGATACATCTTGAATTTTAAAACCCGAAAAAAGCTCGCTGAAAGTCTTGTGTTGTCTGTCATTTCCTACTCTCTTGTTCTGTATTACCTATGTTTAGACTACGTCCACAAAAGGAAACTCCAGAAAATTCAGAACAGCTGTTGTAGGTTTATTTTTGGATTGCGCAAGTTTAGTCGCGTCTCAGATAAAATCAAAGAACTCAACTGGTTGCGAATTGATAAGTTATTTTTATATCTTTTGACCGTCTTCACGTATAAAGTTCTACTATCTAACAGACCAGCTTACCTCGCTAGCAAATTAGTTCACCGAGGTAGTTTTGTTAGCAGAGCTCTTAGATTTAATGCTAATTTTAACATGCCTCCTCACAATACCTCGGTCTTTGAAAGAAGTTACACCTATAATGCTGTCAAGCATTACAATGCAGTCAACAGTGGCTGTCGATCCAAGCATGTTGTTTCTTTTAAGAAATTAATGAAAAGTCAGCTGCTGGAGTCCATTTAGTTCAGTTTTTCTTGTGCTCATGTCATTTTTTTTTGTTTTTTTTGTTTGACTATTTTCTACTATTTTTGTTTCAAATTTAAAACTCTCGCAATACTATCTGCATTTGTCTCGTGCAACCAATGTTGTCATTCTTATGAATTGTATTTTTTTTTGGTATGTTATTATTTTGTTTATGTGTTTAAGTATAATTTTTCCTGTTGTGGGGTTGAGTGTAAGAGTAGCCGTCTGGCTGAACTTCGCCTCACTGCAGTTAATAAAGGCATTATTATTATTATTATTATTATTACTAAATACACGAAATCATACAAATCGTACAATACAGGCATGGACCTGTCACGAGCCGTTAGGCTTAGGCGATGTAGCCAAATCATCGAGTATCTTCGGTGATTCCCCAGATGTGAAGAATCAGCGTATGTGGCACACCAATGTCAGGCAAAGAGAATAAAAATATATCTGGTCTAGAACGAATAATAATAGTACTTTTGTCATTCTTTTTATCGCTATGCATCAGAAATATTTCTCTTATATAGGGAACAAAAATTATTCAATTGGAAGGAAAGTCCACCTTTTGGTAGATTTTGCTTTAAAATCGGTAGTTCGGTAGACCAGGACCAAAATCGGTAGATCTACCGAAAAATCGGTAGACCTGGTAACACTGTCTGTGGCAGAGTCGGTGGCGGATGGTGCAAAGTGGATAGATAGTCTCCTCCCAGAAGCGCGAAAAAACAAAAATGGCCCAAACTTATTTTTTTTGACGCTTCAGAAGCTCCTAATAATTTTCAGGAAAAATTTTTTAGCGGTTGAAAATAGGGGATTGTAAGAGGTTGAGGAGGGTATATCTCAATTGTGTTATGTCAGAATGTTTATACGCTCCAACCACTGGCGGCTGGCCCTTAAGTTCTGCAGAGCTGCCCCTTAACAGAAAAAAGCAGTAGTAATTTGATCATTATTTATTTTCCATGTTATCACACACATAGAAACAACACCGGCAACGCTGCCCCCGCAAGAAACGGCGTCGAGTCTGTTTTGTGCTGAGAAAGGATTATAATCAACCAGTTGTGTACTTGTCATTTTCGTCGCGACCGAAGCGTAACATTATTCATGGACCACTTGAAAAGAATCTGTGCACTACTTCGACACAAGCCGCACGCGCATCAGTTAAACCACAGCCGACGTCAACTACGAGCCGTGATGAAAGAAAGGCAACACCGCGCTCGGACAGCATGGTAGTGCTACCTGTGAACGTCGGCCGCCAGCGGCGGTGTGCTCCGCTTCGTGTAACGTTCAAGAACTAAATTTAATTTTGGAAAAGAGGACAGTTTGATTCGATACAGATCGTCTGAATATGAAATAGCTCTAAAAAACTTAAAAATACGAAATAATCGTGATATATATGAGTCGCTAATGCAGTTAACCTAATTAAAAGTATTTAGTTTACGTTTTTTGGTGTCAGCACACTGTGTTCCAACAGGCCCAGCTTGGAAATGTGGACTTACCTGTTTGGTTTTAATACATTTACTTTCAGTTTTACTGTTATTTTTCAATTTTACATAATCATTCAAAATTATGTCTGAAAAAATAGACAAAAGCTTAGATAAAATATCTGCATAATTGCGGCCACAGATGCAAGTTAAAGAAAATTCACTGTATATAAAGTCAGACTGAATGCTGAGCAAGGTTAACTGACACAAAATAAATTTTTGATTATTGCTTTTCAAGAAGAAAATTTCCAATCTATCTACATTAATAATAGATTCAAAAATGGCATACATATGGTAGAATATGATTGGTACATAACTGGTTGGAATTGACAGTCCTCCTCTTTGCAAATGATCAAAATAAACATTTGTTGTTAATGAACCTTTTTCTTTAACTATTAGCGATTTGCACATCTCGCAGTTTAGGTTTTTAGAGATAGCGTGTGAAGCATATCCAGATATATAAGTCTTAGTACTATCCTCTATGTCACAATTGGCTAAGTAATTTGTCTCAAATACTTCATTGAATATATCCAAAACTTCAGGATTTTGTTTGGTATCCAAGAAATCAAAATTTTCTTGAGTTCTAAGCAGTTTTGGAACCTTGTTTTAATTTCTGCTAAAGAAAATGACTTTCTTTTCATTGAAAATATGCTTCAGCCGTATTTTCTTTACAGCATTTAAAATTTCATCATATGACACATTGTAATTGCAGCCACATAAAAGTCTATAATAGCCAAATCGTTTTTCTAAATTATCAGTGGTGGATTTTCCAGGCAATACATACTCAATGTCAAATTGATTAAATGAATATTCAATTATATTAAGTAGAGTCAGCGTGCTTTGATATAGAGCTGTATACGTTTCTGGTATCAGGTGTCCATTATTATTCTCTAGATTATGCCATTTCTCTAACCATATCAGGAATGTTTTTAAAAATTGTACTCTATAATCATATTTATTGGTAATAGGCTTACAAAATTCGTTTCGCTTCAATTCTCCTTTTATTACACTTGTATTACTGACAATATCCCACCAATTCCTGATTATTTCCAAAAAGTGTGCAGCATCATTAAACTTTAATTCTTTCATAGCAGCTATTGTTGAGTGATGGAATAAAATATCTACAAAATTTATATTTTGCCTTTCAAATGAATTTGGATGCAATGTTTTATAATTTAATTTATATGCTTTCTTAACTACAGCTTCTTTTTCCAATTGATATACAGCACGAATTAGGATATACAAAAGTTTTGTCTAGGCTTTTTAAATTAGTCCAATTATTTCTGATACTCTTGAAAATATGCACAACATCATAAGTTAAATATATGTTCTTATCAGGATTATGTGGATTTGGAATAGAATAATTTTCTGATGAATCCTTTGCTAATTTCCTGAACATTGCTCTATTAATTCGGTGATTATCAGTAACAACACAAATAACTTCAAATCCACATTTTTGAACTAAATTTATCTTTGATCTTATCCATATTATCGAAATTCTGGATAGCTTTTTCATGTTTCTCAATTAATTTTTGTTTTCTTTGCATTGGGTCAGTTCTTTTGGGTGCTTCAGTTTTTGAAAGATGTGATGGCAAGTTTGGGAAAATGGAGGCAACAGCATTTTCTTTCAATTTTGGATATTTCAAAGGTATATTATTTTGGACTGTTTCATCCGCCAAACCTATATTTTCTGTCCTCATGATATCCGATTCTCTAAAATGACGACTGCACACAGCTGAATATTTTGAAGGTGTCCAATTTTTTCTGGGAATTACCATAAGCCATTTGTTTTTCAGACTTTCGGTACTTGGGAAGCGAAAAGTTGAAACATAGCTTTCTGTTTTCAAAGCAGAATTATAGTTTGCATTGCATACAGGAACACAGCAACAACGAGGCATATTGTCTGCGTCAAATACTTGATAAATGAAAAAAGAAAAATATAACCTGAATTTGCACGTTTTCAATAGTTGAAATCCTTAGCGTCCTGAGGCGCGAACAGCCACAGTCACACTTCTTAGTTTATTTTTAAAGCACAGAAGCACTACAACTGGAGTCTATTTCTCATATATGTATTATAGTCACCGATCACTTTGAACACATACACACACTTTGAAGCTTAGAAAATTACAGCCTCTGGGATTCCAAAATCACAAATTGAAAAGGTTTTGAGCACGAGTTGCGTCGATGCAGCAAGCAGCGGCGGGAGTAACACTACCACCTACGTTGCCAGATTTCTTTGTTCACGGCTCGTAGTTGACGTCGGCTGTGGTTAAACCTGATTATGTCCCAAGCTGCTTCCGCAAATGCTCAAGTTCGGGTGTTATTTGGGGATTTGAAAGATATTCCGGGATTTTTTAATAATTCTCCTCAACGCTTAGAGGTACTGACCAGAATAGTGGGGAAAAAATTCCCCAAGGAGCCACAACTCGTTGGAATTTTAATATTCGAACAATAAATGTAGTGTTTGAAAACAGAGAATCACTCATTGAATGCATGGAAGAAATAGTAGAAAATTTCACTAATGAAACCGTTTGCAAGGCAGCTTGCGGTATTCGCCCTATGTTAAACGATTCTGTTTTCATGTTTTGGTTGACATTTTTTCATCATGTCATGCCTCACGTCGACATCTTGTTCAACCAGTTGCAGAAGAGAAAAACCGAGCCAGCGCAAGTTAAAACGGCTATCGATATTTTTGAAAAATGTATTTTCGATGTGAGAATTAAAATTGATGACATAATATATGAAGCCAAAAGTATTTGCACTGAACCCCAAGGCAACAAAAGGAGACGACGTAATAATAGCAGTCACGATCACCGAGATGCCGCATTAGAAGTATGCGACAATATAGTGAATTCTGCAAATCACAGATTTCAATTCAAAGATCATTTGGTAGCCGCATCCCTTTTTTTCCCAGAACATTTTGGAGAATACTGTGGTAAGTTTCCTGATAACAAGTTGGAAACTACCTGCTTGGCTTATCCCGAATTAGAAAAAAGTCGTTTAAAGACAGAGTTGTCTGTTATTTATGCACGGAATAATTGCCGAGATTTACATGGAACTCTGTCTCTTTTGAAATTTTTGATACAAAATAGTTTGGAGGAAACACTAAAAGAAACAAAAAAGCTATTAGAAATTATTGTTACAACTCCTATGTCAACTAGAGGCTGAGCGAAATTTCTCAACATTGAAAGGAATCAAGACCTTTCTTCGAAATACTATAACCCAGGATCGCCTTACAGCGTTGTCGATGCTGTCCATTGAAAAGGAATTTATTTCGATCATGGAAAATTTCAACGGGAAGGTGATCGGCAAATTTGCCGCCAAGAAGGAGCGCAGGATCGAACTGACATATAAAAGATAGATAAGTTCGGATTTGCAGAACACCTGTTTTATTTTTCCACGAGCCGCCACTGGCGGTTGAACCCCAGTAATTCTATGCATCTATTAGACATACTTCAAACATCAGAGGTTTCCCCGTACATTTGCCATCAAGAAGCTATTTTAGACTGTAATCGACCTCTAGTATAGCCTACACTGTAACCTAACCCACCTCTTCGCTATTTTTAGCATCACGAAGGCCGGTTCTGATACGTTTTATAAGGCAAACCAAGATCACCCTTCTCTTGCAGGCTTATCTACCCTTTCATTTCTGTGGCCTTTCTATAAGGCCCGGCTTACGGCAAAAGTTAATTTGTTGTGCGTTATGTCAGTTTAATCTGTTGCCACACTGTTCGTATAGGTCTGTATGTAGAAGTTATTACCAGCTTAAAGGGCTAATTTCACCAACATTAATATGAATTGGTCCCTTGGACGAATAGGGAAATACCTTATCGAAATGCAATTTGACAGAAGCTGTCTCTGAATATCAGTGATTTCTATTGAAATGTTGAGTAAAGTCGTGAAAAAACGGTTGCCTAATAAATAAGGGTACATTATAGATGTAATATTATGTCTTTGTCCCCCTATAGTCCGGAATTTTTTACAAAAGAGTACCTTGTAATCCGACAAATTACATATCCAATGGTAAGATTATATGTTATGTATATGTATGTAGCTTGAAGTACAAATCATACATAGTTTATGTATGTCGAATTTAGTAAATTAAATAACAATAGGGAGCTTACGTTTTATTATAAAATTAAGCATAAATGCACATACATATGTACCAAAATAATCAAGAATTATTAATCAAAATCATTAATGAATTTATCAAATTATCAAGCTTGGAAATATTCATAATTTTTGTTTTTTGTTTGAGGTTTTTATAACGCGAGATCAGAGCTTTGTCCCTCAGTCTTCTCAAAAGTAAAAGTTCGTTGTAGGATGTACCATTCTCTTCAGCCCATTGTAAACCTAGATCAAAGGCGTTAATTGCGTCTTGTGCTGTGACTTGTGGAGCAGGTGCAATCACGTCGTCGTTATTTTACTGATTGTTTGTTGTATAATTAGAAACCTCTTTTATAATCTCTTCGTCAGACATTTCATGAAAAACATTTTCCTCTTTATCCATTCCACGGCACCAGATTTCCAAATCTTCCGGACTTATCTGTGTTTCAGTAGCGACTTGTTCTATAACTTCCGAAGTAACACTGATTTGTGGAACGTTGCTAGGAGTGGTGACCATAACTTTTCCCAAGACGATTTAATAGTTGATGAGGGTAACGCATTCCACGACTGACAAAGAGCAAAAACCAAGTCTTTCATGTTAAATTCTTTTAAAGTCTTTCCTATTGGTTGGTGTTTTGATACGGCTCTCAGAAGTAGGTTTTCCTTATAGTCTTGCTTGACAAACTGAATGATATTCTGGTCCATTGGTTGAATCAGTGCAGTGCAATCTGGCGGAAGAAACATCGCAGTGATGCATTTACCCTCAGTTGTTAGTTCTAATTCAGACGGATGACAGGGAGCGTTATCAAGAAGCAACAACGCTTTTTGAGGAAAATTATGATCTTTTAACCATTTTCTAACTTCAGGTACGAAGCATTCATCAAACTACTTTGGTCATCCATGCACTTTTTTGTCCTTATAGTGTACAGGTAAATCAATGTTTTTGAATGCCCGTGGTTTATTAGATTTCCCAATGACCATCATATTAAGCGCGTGTGTGCCCGCAGCGTTAGCACATGTTAGTATGGTTACACGCTCCTTACTTACTTTTCGTCCAGGTACGGATTTTTCGTTACAAGAAACGAAAGTTTTGTTAGGCATCACACGCCAAAAGAGTCCTGATTCGACTACATTGTACACCTGTGACGGTTCAAGATTTAAATCGTTCTCTTCTTTAACAGTCATTAAACGTATGCCAAGGCGACTTTTAAAATGTTCTAGCCATCCTTTGCTGGCCACAAAATCATCTTTTTTTGTCATTTCCTTATAAAAAAACTCAGCTTTAATGGCCAACATGGGTGCATGCCTATTTCTTTCCTGAAGAAACCACATGTACAAAGCTTCTTCCACTTCTGGATGTTCAGCTTTCTTGAGTATCTGTCTCTTGCCTGGCTCGCAGTCAGTAGTTGACACAAACTTCTTGATCTTCTCGTGGTTTCTTTTAATGTCATAAATTGTAGATCGGCCTACTCCGTATTTACTTGCTAAACTACTGAAGGTTTTATTGCGATTTAAGCGGTCTAAAATATCACATTTTTCTTTAATTGTCAATGTTTTGTGCTTTCGCTTCTGAGTTTGTGATGACATTACTAGGTACTATACTTAATACACAATGAATAAATAATAAACAATGAACGCACGCTAGGCCCTACTGCTATCACAAGTAGTCAAATTCAAACTAAGTAAAACAATGCTTACGCGTCGAGCACGACAGCGGTGGCACGTACAAGTTGTAACCTGTTCAAACCTGCGTGATCTACATTAAAGAAGATTGTCAAATACGTATGTATGTAATACATATTCAAAGACATGTCGGATTACAGGGGGCGCCGGATTAGACAGGGGCCGGATTATCGGGGGTCCACTGTATATTTGGTAGGATGTTTTCACTGTTCTTGACGACTGTTCATGCATAGCAATCCAGTTTTGTCTGTATATCACGTACAGGGTGTTGTACATAACACGTACCTGTAGAAACGTACTGATTTTTGTTATTTTGCAAACAAAAGGATATAAAACGTATTTCAACTGGTTCATCGTCTTTTGTTGCATCAAAAACAATTTTTGCCAATCTATGATCTAAAAATCCACGCCAATTGTAAACAAACAGCACATTCTGCATTTCTGGGTCCTAAAACATCGATGTTTGTAAAAGTATCCGCATCCACCTATTATTCATCGTCTAGATATTATAAGTCAGAATCAAAAATACCTATTTATGAATATATATCTCCAAACATTGTTATATCTTCTTATTATTTCTATTATTATAACACGTCTGGGATATCAATTGCTTTTAAAGTGATCTGCACGTCTGCAGTGTGTACTCCTCAAAAAAGAAAAATATTGCAAATTTCTAGTTTTTTTGAAGGTTTTAGGTTTGCTGGTAGAAAGCTAAAAAGACGACAGATATTTGGGTATTTCTTAATCGCTGTAAATATAGTGTGGATGTTTCTTTAGTTCCTATATTCAACTTTATGGATGTATGGATCTCACAAGCTGTCATCTCATACTTTGACAATATTTTGTTTTCAACATTTCAGGTATTGATTGCTAAAATTTGTTGATTGGATGTGGAAGCTCATTCGCTGTATTTGACGGACTGTTACCCTATAGGTGGAGAATAACGGACTGTTAATTTGACAACCTTGGTGAGATCCATCCTAAGTGACATACGTATAAAATGCAACATCCAGAATTATTTATTGAATTTCGATAAGAACTTGTAAACATATTTGCTATCATGGAAGTATACGTCAATGAAATGGTGAACGGATTCCGAGCCGTACTTTTTTGTCATATCAGGATCCGAACAACATGAACATGTTTACTTAATATTCAACGATTTTTCTGTGTTGGTTCCATTTGTTTCATTAGTTTTTAATTGCAGGAGGAGCGAGGAGCTTCGACACATTATTAATATTAAGGAGAGATATCTCATCTATTTTGCGAAATTTCGAGTTAAAATTTTAATCACTCTCTATGTATCAGTTGACCTAAAACATGTAAAAGAAAGAGAAGAAAGGATGTGTGCTACCCATCGGTGATGCAGCTTAAGCCATTCTATATCCTGAAGATGGTTTGGACTTTTTGCATTTGGAGAGCCTCCTATTGAGTTAGACACGGAACAATAACATAATCAGCACACCCTAGCTTACTTAGAATTAGGTTGTTAGTGATCTTGATTCTGGAACCTTTGGGCAGAATATTTTTAAAATTGTAAATACATTTCAGCTTTGCATAAGCGCTTTGAACATTGATCATGGAAGGTGAGGTGGTCATTAAATGTTACACCAAGGGAACGTACGCTAAGCGCATGATCAATCTTTCTGCCATGAATATAAAGTTTCATAATGGTACTTTGAAAATTGCTATTGTCGAACATTTATGCAATCTGATTTTTTTTTTGGATTGGCGTTCAAAAAATTGTTTTTAAACCAAGGATCTACAGGATTGAGATTGGTAGACAGGCTTGTTGATGCTGGTTGAACATCAGCGGGATGATATGATAAATATACTAAGTGACATATAAATCCGAACACCCAGTTTAAATGGTTTTATTTTAATAAAAGTTGGTGAATGTATTTATCTTACTGTAAACAACAAGTCCTTATCAGTTATACATTCCGGTTTTTATACTGTTTTTTTTTTAATTCACTAACGCTCTAAAAATGAATATTTCAGCCGCAGTAAAGAATCAACGTTGGCGGATTTTGGTTCTTGAAATCCTTTACGATCGGTTACGATGCCTAGAGTACGGAGACCTGTACGATTTCGTCAACTTAGTGAGTTTGATAGGGGCCGTATAGTGGGACTTCGGGAAGCTGGACTTTCTTTTCGGGCAATTGCAGTTAGAGTGCAAAGAAGTGTAGACACTGTGGTTAGGTGTTGTCAGGCATGGCTTCGAGAAGGCCGTACGCAAAGAGCAAGGGGCACTGGACGCCGCCGTAGAACAACAGACCGTGAAGATCGCCGCCTAAGATTATTGGCCTTCTTCACTACCAGGTCCATTGCAAATGAATGGTTTGCAGAACACGGAAGAACTATTGGCATGCGAAGTG